CAACTAGACTGTAAATCCCTAGACTGTGTTCTCTCAAGATGGTAAATATGTAACATGTTTGCTCCTACTGCTGAAGCCTTAAGAGCTCAAGCAACTTTAGTTATAAAGCCTATTTTTTAGATTGTTTCTGATTTACTGAAAGATAATTTAACATTTTTACTTTGAAAGCAACAGTATCGATTAATCAATAAATATAAGAAGCTAATGAAGAATCTGGTACACTCTTATTAAGGAGAGCACAGGGCGCCTGGGTGGCTCAGTTGGTTAAGCGACTGCCTTCGGCTCAGGTCATGATCCTGGAGTCCCTGGATCGAGTCCCACATCGGGCTCCCTGCTCGGCGGGGAGTCTGCTTCTCCCTCTGGCCCTCCCCCCCTCTCATGTGCTCTCTCTCATTCTCTCTCTCTCAAATAAATAAATAAAATCTTTAAAAAAAAAAAAAAAGGAGAGCACAATGAAATGGAATCAGAAGAGTGAAATTATAAAAATTCCTGGCAGTTCATTTTAGCTAGAAAGAAAATCTTCTCTCATAATTGAACAGATTCATTGATTTTTAGCTCTTAAAAAGGCATTAAGTTTATTTCAATCTAGTCTTGCATCAGCATATAAACTAGTTCCTAAATATAGTATCATGAACATTAATAAGGTAGTCTGACATTTATTGATCTATATAAAAATTAAAATATGGTTTTCTATTTCCTAAGAGAAAATATGTATGTAGAAAATAGGTTTAAAAAGAAGCTGCTAAACTCCAATAATTTCTAATCAGTCTGATTCTTCACTTCTTCCTCTCGAACAACATCCTCCAAAAGCTATGGAAGATAGAAAATGTTCAGATGGTGTGTCTGTGTGTGTTAAAAGAAGAGAGTAAGTTTGTCTCCATCTTTTGTAATTCCCAATCCCCATTGCTCTAGTCTTTTATTGAGGAGTGGTAAATTTAACTAATACAAATTCTCCAAAGCTAAAGCAGAAGATATATGTGTTCTGTACTCTTCTGGGTTTGTTCCTAATCACCAACCTCATCTTCTCTCCTTAGCACTCCTTCCCCATCACCCGAATCACCAAAAGCCCAGAAATTCAATAAAACAGTAAACAATCTCTCTGAAAGGTACCTTCCTGGTTTTCTCTAAAACAAATGCAATCTTCTGTTTGGTCATTTAAAACACCACAAGCATTCTTACTTAGATTAAATCATGGGTCTCCCTGGTCTCCAGGCATGCCTAGACATGAACCATAAAGGGAATGAGTTCCTTGGAGTTTCTCTAGTAACTACAGGCCGAATCAACAGCAACCCTAAGAACAAGCATTCTTTAAAAAAAAAAACAACAACAACACTCACACATACACAATCACACACACACAGGACAAGGCCACACAAATTTTTTTTCTTGTTATTTTACTTTTTTTAGTTGCACTACCCGCAGAATAGACTGTATTTTAAAAAATCGATTTCTGGAGGCAATGCATCTTGATGGCTTTTACATATGTTTTCTTTATTTTTTAAATTACCTTTGAAGAAAAGCTCTAAAAATATAAAATTCAAGGCATCTACTGCAACCACTACCTTGGAGGGCAGCGATCCAGCTCGGGTAAGAAATGTAAAATGCAACTAATAATCATAAAATGTCAATCAGGAAGAGGTATTTAATATTGTATTGGGTAGAGTGACTAACAATTTGAAAAAAACAGAATTGTTTTTATAATTATGTCCTAACCAAAACTTGTAAGTCTGCATATTGCTAATGGAATGGAAGCTATTTCACTCCTGCATTTATGTATGTATGTCTATTTAGCTATAAAATACAAATTTGTTTGTACAGTTACCTCTAGAGAACTCGCAGCTCACCTAGCTCTGATTCCGGCATATTGCCTGCTACTGCTTGGGGTACAGTACGTGTTAAAGAAGTGTGAGGTGTTCTACAACATTGTGCTTCTCCCAAAGATAAGATGAAGAAAAAAAAAATAGTTATAAATGACACATCTTTTGCAATTTGACTTTACAAGTTAATCTTGAGAATTAATGTTTTCTGTACTGTACATTTTATACTTTGATTTCTTACTCTTCACTTTGGTGTTCTCAGGACACATGATGCATGTGGCAAAAGAATGTGCTGTCTTTCATAGCGAAAGACAATGCTGTAACTCAAACTCATCCTTGGGAAGTTCTTCTGGTGGTTTAATAGTGTGAGCTTGGAATTTGTTTTGAATGATCTAGATGACTGGCCCCTAATTCACGCTACTAGTGGCATGTAGGAAACCATTTCCTGGGTTTAGGGAATCAATCTCTAGCTGGGAAGTTTTCTTCTGGGGAAAATAATCTAGAACTAAGCTTTTGGGGTCAACAATGAGTGCTCTATACTGGATGCATGAAGACCATACTGAAGGGCTACTTCCAACTGAGTTCCACAAAGTGTAGAATTAGAATATTCTTTATCCTTTCCTGATGCATTCATTGAAGGAAAAGAGGGGAAAGAGTAACTCAAGGAATGAAGTATTAGTAGAGGTCTCCCAGAAATTCTCTAACTGTCCTCTTTTGTTCAATCTAGTCCGAATACACACATAAATCCATCTATATCATCAGATGTGGAATTGTGAGAAGAAAATGTAACTGGTCACAAGACATTGTTTCTCTGGCCTCCCCACCCCTCACCCTGAATATCCCAATTTAGTCTTGCTTCGAGGACCAATTGGAACCTGGCTCTTCCCTGTGCCTTCCCTGACAATTACAGTCCTCATTGATGCCCCACCCCACCCTCTTATATATCTCCCCAGTTTAACAATTTATTATATACTGTATTGAGTGGTAGATAATGTGTGTTCACATTGTGTTACCACCTAGATTATACATATGGAGGGTAGAATGAATGACCTTAGGTGCTGAACATATAGCAGGTATTTATGTGAGGACCAAGCTTTGATCTAACTCTTGAGCCCACTCACTATTTGATGAAAAGAGCCAACCTTCCACCTCATTGCATGGCCCTCCAAGAGTGTAAGAGAAACCCAAGGGGAAGGCAAGAGTACAGATGGGACTCTCCAAGGCAGTTGTCCCACATGCCAGAGGCCACCGAGGCCTAGCTCCCTTTGGAAAATTAGAGCCTACAATTTGGTACCAGGCCAGGCTGTTTTCCCTGACAAAGATGGTAATGAAAACTGGGTGGGCGTGTGGGGCTTCTTGGGGACGGGGAGGGGAGAAGGAGCTCCTTGGCCCTCCTGCCCTATCAGGAAGAGATACTTCTCAGGAATCTGTGCCTCGGTCCCCAGGGCCTCTTCCCTGCAGGGACCCGCCTTCGGCCCCAGCTCGCGGCTTCCTCCCCTCCCCCACCCCACCCGGCCCCTCCTCCACCCCACCCCACCTCGCGCGTGCCCCGCCCCCTCCACCACCGGGTTCCAAGGGCGGTTGGTCAGCCACGGCCACGGTGACTCGGCCACTCGGAGCTGCGGGGCGCACGGGGTTGAGAGAGCTGGCTCTAGGGTTTGGGCTGGGGACTGGAGAGAAGTTTTCTGGGGCGGAGCGGACGGGGGAGTGAGAAGGTGGGAGCAGGACCCGAGGAAGCGTAGAGGGGAGGGCCCTGGGAGGCACCGAGACGGGCGCGGGGACGGCGGCGGCTGGGACGAACCCGGGAACACCGGGAGTTGGGGGGCGGGGGGGCGGCCCGAGGGGTGCCCGCTGGCCCTGCCACGCCAGGTGTGCGCGGGGGTCCGGCGGCGGCCAGCGCAGCCCGCGGGCCGGGCGAGGGTGCCGGCTGGGTCCGGGGCGTCGTCCGGGGCCCCGCGCCCAGGTCCTCGCGCCCAGGCACCGTCGGGCACAGCCCGGGGGGAGACGCGGCCTGGACCCCGAGGCCCGCCACCGTCCGGGAGCTGCAGCCCGCGGGCGCCCGGTGCTCGGTTTGTAGGCAGTGTAATTAGCTGATTGTACTCTGGTGCTTACAATCACTAACTCCACTGCCATCAAAACAAGGCACAGCATCACCCGCCGCCCCGCGGGCAGGAGGACGCCACCCTCGGCGGCAAACGGCCAACCCCGAGCGCTGGGAGAGAGCTGCGCTTGGAGATTTGATGCGTCAGCCTTTGCTGGGCTCAGCGCTGGCCGCCCCGCGCGCTGTGCACCTGCGAGGACCCTCCAGCAAACTAGCCGGGCGGCTGCGGCTAGACGCAGTTAAACTGTTAGCTACGCCGAGGCGTAAAAGCAGGATTGGGCAATCCGCCTGCAAGGAGAGCGACGTGTGCAAAGTTTAATGGCTTTAATTGTGAGCTGTAATGACATTTAGACTTCGGGGAGGAGCCCCCCCCCCCCCCCGTGTAACGTTTAATTCTGTATACTGTGATTCATTCTGCCTCTCGTTCATTATTTAGTAAGGTATTCACCAACCCACAAACTAGAGTGAGCTACAGTTGAACCGATGAACCAATATGATTTGTCTATCACAACTTGGGACTGCAGTGCATGATGGAAGTAAACCTTTTTTTTCCTGTGAGTCTAGTTACTAGGCAGTGTAGTTAGCTGATTGCTAATAGTACCAATCACTAACCACACGGCCAGGTAAAAAGATTTGGGAATCATCCAAATGAGCTGTCTGTGCACATTGGTGTGTTTGGGGGAAGGTGGGGTTTGGAAATGCTCCAGTATTACCCATTGCCTATTAATAGCTTATCCAAGAGAAAAATCAGTATTTTAGCAGCTAAATATACAATGTAAAATTCATATGTCTTTATAATTTATCAATTTCCTTCAGGCTCTTAACCAAAAAAAATTTAGATATATAATAGGATTTTTTCCTTCACTGATCTATGTCATTGTATAGACTTGTGATTATCAACTTTTGAACTGAGACTGTATTAGTATTTTGAAAGAATAAAGTGCCATAAGGTCATAAGTTGTGGTTATTACCTTTCCTAAGTTGGCTTTATGATGTCCATCTTAATTCCAGCCACACTAATTACAACTTTGCTATGGCTGAAATGGTTAGATTGTTCCTAGATTAATGAAATCTCCCAGGAAAGTTATTTATTCACACTTATTAATATTTTTGTAAAAATACATTAACATTTTTCATAATTTATTTTTCGGGAAGGGACTGAGTCCACACATCAGACATAGTCCTTCTTTTAAGTGATCATTTAGGACTGTTGCAGTGCAGGCAGCTTTTAGTGGGACTGATTTGTAAAGGCACAATCTAAATCCAGTTTCTTCCATGAGATTTCCCTTAAAGGATGGGGGAGAGGGGAATATACAACAAGGACTTTATACACAGGTACTTCTCAGCCCAGTTCAGCGCTCTGGCTCCCATGGGCTAGGATGTTAGCTGCCCTATTGAATTCTCCAACCACTATCCACATAAGGTGGGCAATCTGGTGTGGAAGGAGAGGTGGGTTGGGGTGGTAGGGCTAAGAGTTGAAAAGCTTTATTTAGATATATAGGTATATTTGGGGGGAAGGAAACTGGGGGGAGGGGGGTTTGAAGGCTGACTGAGGTGGTGCGAGAACTCAAGTGCTGCCCTACTGACTCCCAACAGGACAAGAACCACCCCAAACCTGATGTTTTTGACTCCTCCTATCTGGTCGCCAAGGCTTGGACTGGTCCTGAAGCCTGTGATACCGCAGAAGTGGGCTTCAGATCATCCACAGGCACGCGCTGGACCCCAGCGTCTATTCAGGAATCAAAGGGCTTCTGGCGGTGGTGGTTGCCCAGCTTGACGGTTCTCCGCAGGGCGGGGCTGGGAGAAGAGCGAGGGAACTCAGAGGAGCGTCCTGAGTTGCCATGGAAACGAGGGCCGGCGGAAGGCTTCCCAGCCACAAGGAGTCCGTTGAAATTTGCCCCCAGGGATTGCTGGTGTTCACCGGAACTTCGGAACAGGACTCGAACTTGGCCAAGCAGTTCTGGGTCGCGGCGTCGATGTACCCTACTAACGAATCTCAGTTGGTGCTGTCCCGAGGTAGCAGTCAGCGCCTGCCGGTGGCCCGGCCCTCTAGGCGCCGTCCGCCTGGTGAGTAGCAGCCTGGGGCCGCGGGCTTCTGCCTCCGTCATCAGTAACCAACCAGCGGGGCCACTGTCACAAGTAACCGCCGAACCTATTTCTAAAATAAGAATCTTTCATTTCAAATGTCTGAAAACCCTATACAGTTTTGTTTTTTTTTTAACTTCTCAGCAGTCCTTCCACCGGGAAAGCATCAGTGCTATATTCGTTACATCTAAAACCACATCTGAAAGTATCCCTTAGGTTATGGCATCTGTTTGGCTAAACAGTATAGAATAATCTGGGGGAAATATTATATGTTGGCTGAAAGGATGTTAAGGGTGGTTGTTTACATAATCAAGTTCAAACATGAAAGCCTCAGAGAAAGTTTGAATCAATATTAGGAACCAGGTCCCCAGACCTGTAAAACCTTAGTAAGCCAAAGAGATGGAAACTGTTATTACGCAATTTTTATAGGTATAGAAAGCTTAAATACCCCACCTTTTTTTAGAAAGCTTAAATATCTTTAATGCTATGGTCTTTCCAATAATTTCTTCACTTCCCTTTTGTATTTTTTTTTTTAAGATTTTATTTATTTATTTGACAGAGAGAGACACAGGGAGAGAGGGAACACAAGCAGGGGGAGTGGGAGTGGGAGAAGCAGGCTTCCCGCGGAGCAGGGAGCCTGATGCGGGGCTCGATCTCAGGACCCTGGGATCATGACCTGAGCCGAAGGCAGATGCTTAACAACTGAGCCACCCAGGCGCCCCCCCCTTTTGTATTTTTTAGAGAAAATTTACTTCCAACCTTTTAGCCTTGAGAAAAACAGTAAGTACCAAGTCTTAGGCATTTCAACATCCTGATTCCTAGATCCTTCAGAAAATAGGTAATAAGTATAAGGAGACATCTTTACACTTTGGCATAATTTTCTGAATTGCATATCAAAACCCTGTTCAGAGACCATCCTACTTATCCAGAGGAGAATGTCTAAATTCCCCTAACACGTTGAATAGAAATGCAAAAATTGGAAATTCTTTTACTGCAAAGATGTTCTCTTCAGAGACCTTTTCTTGTCACTGGACTCAGGCTTACTCCTCTTCTAAAGAGATTAGAGGCTCCCTTTGGCCATAGCTAATTAATTCAGTCTCCAATTATTTATGAATCGGTTTGTAAAGTTTCAGGACAGTACATATTTGTGTTTACCTTCCTATTCTGTTACTTTTTAACATTTATCCAAGTTTATATCAACATTATTATAAAATCATGATAAAATTATTTTAGATTGAATTTGACTTTATTTCCTTTAGAGACTACTGATATCACCGCTGAAACCATAAAGATTCAGGAATCTGAGGAGAAAAAAAAGTATCTCCAAAAGGTAGGCCAATATTTCAGAAGGTCATCTGATTTTCATTAGAAATTCATTATTATTTTCTAAATAATCCCAGTTATCCTTTTTAAACACATATATGTAAAATTTTTCTACTTCTGGCACATCAGCTTGAGCAATTAGAGAACATTTACTGGAATTTTTTTTTAAGATTTTATTTATTTATTTGACAGAGAGAGACACAGCGAGAGAGGGAACACAAGCAGGGGGAGTGGGAGAGGGAGAAGCAGGCTTCCCGCGGAGCAGGGAGCCCGACGCGGGGCTTGATCCCAGGACCCTGGGATCATGACCTGAGCCGAAAGCAGACGCCCAACGACTGAGCCACCCAGGCATCCCCCTTTATTGGAATTTTAACTGAAGATTAAATAATTATATAGATTATTATATATATAGTAGATTAAAAAATTCTATTAAATTTTGGCTATTCTCAGTCCCTGCAAAAGCCCAAGGATATATAGGAACAAGAGAATCAGAGGGAAATGGGGGAAAATGGATTCACACACCTTCCATCCAATAAAGCCCTAAACCATATACAATGTTCTAAGAATGTTGTAATAACTGGAAAGATCAAATAGAATTGACCATCTTAATAGGTCAAACTCAAATGATCCGATGAATGAGTCTGTCATCTAGAACCCTTTTGACTAAAGACTGAAATTGAACAAATTAGCATAGTCAAATCAACTGAACACATCTCTTTTTGGCAACGTCTCTTGTTTGCTTTTCATGATGCAGGCACAGACTTTAACTCCACAATTAATACAGTGATTTATAGCAACATTTTGTTTGGTTAATGGGTAAGTTCCATTCCTGTAACTGTTCCTGTACTATAAAAGTAAAGATAGAAGATTCACTTGGACCCAATATCTTTAATCATTGGATATACTGGCAAACTCTGAAAGACTTATCGGGAATTCTACATAGATTATAGAATAATGCATTTGTGTTTGCCAATCACATTAATTCACTTTATAGACTATTGGTGATTCCTCCAAACAAATGAGGTGATTATAAATAGTCAGCATTTTCTTCATTCTTGAGGATATTGGGCACTATGTGTTTGTACCAGGACTTAATGGGTGGATGGAGCCTAATTTTTAGTGAGGTAAAAATCATTAAATTCAACTTCCTCAGCACTTTTTAATTTTATTTTTGGAAGACATTAGAAATAAAGACTAAAGACAAACTACTGTCAATTCTTATCATGTTTTGTCAAACAATTAAGATGATGTGAGTTACAAGTGGATGTTCTGCTAATGGGCTATTATATCAGTAGTCTTAGAACTGGCTTCCTTGCCTCGGGTTCTTCTATGTTAATTACTTAATTCTATAGATATTGATTGAGAAGTACCAAGTGCTAAGTACCATACTAGATGCTGGGAATACAAAGGTAACATGTGGTCCTTGATTTCAAGGAGTTTATAGTCTGGTGGGAGAGACAGCCAATTAAAGTCAAGAGTTATGATACATTATTACAGTAGATGTATATGCACATAATACAATGGGAACACACTGAAGAACATCAAAATGAAACTTAAGGAATCAAGAAATGTTCCCAAGGAGCTGCGTTTCAAAGAATATATAGAGTTGACCAGACAAAGACTATGCAAAGCAGTCCTTCACAGTGTACTAGTTAGCTTCTTAAAACCCAAGTCCAATTATGCTTCTCTCCTTCTGTATTAGGGTGCTAGGGCTGCAGTTACAAAATATCACAGCCTGGGTGGCATAAACAACAGAATTTTATCTTCTCCCAGTTCTGAAGGCTGAGAGTATGAGATCAAGATGCCATCATAGTTGGTTTCTGATGAAACCTCTCTTCCTGGCCTGTGGATGGCCAACTCCTCACTGGGTCCTCACATGGCACAGGGAGAGAACTCTGGTGTCTCTTCCTCTTCTTATAAGGACACAAGTCCTATCTTGAGAGCCCCATTTATGACCTCATTTATGACCTCATTCAACCCTAATTACCCCCCCTTAAGGACCTACCTCAGAATACAGTTACACATGGAGTTAGGGCTTCAACATAGGAATGGCGGGGGGCACAATTCAGTCTATCCACCTACTTTCATTTCTTCCTTGGCTCTCCATTTCTACAGGATCAAGACCAAATCCTTCAGCATGGTATTTAAGTTCCTTTCCAATCTGGCCATAACCTGACTGAAATCTCCTGCCACCCTTCTCTTTCCCCTATACCCTTCCCCCATCCCCAGCGCAGCCCACTCTGTACCATTGGTTCTCCACCACGAGGCCAGGGTACACTCTGGATCCTCCCCATATGTGCTATCAAAGTGGTGAGTGGGTAAAATAGTTTTTGCTGAACCTCAATATGCACATTATTCTGTAATATCTGCCAAATTATACATTAAGTCAAGTGGGTCCTGCAATGCAGTAAAGAAGAAGATTCTGTTTGTTGAGAGTAGAAGAAGCCAAAAAAAAACCAGCAAGCCAGCAGGAAAGAAATAGAATGTCACCTGAACAGACATTTTTCCAAAGAAGACATCCAAATGGCCAACAGACACATGAAAAAGTGCTCAATATCGCTCGGCATCAGGGAAATCCAAATCAAAACCTCAATGAGATACCACCTCACACCAGTCAGAATGGCTAAAATTAACAAGTCAGGAAATGACAGATGTTGGTGGGGATGCGGAGAAAGGGGAACCCCCCTACACTGTTGGTGGGAATGCAAGCTAGTGCAGCCACAGTATGGAGGTTCCTCAAAAAGTTGAAATAGAGCTACCATATGATCCAGCAATTGCACTACTGGGTATTTACCCCAAAGATACAAAAGTAGGGATCCGAAAGGGTACGTGCACCCCGATGTTTATAGCAGCAATGTCCACAATAGCCAAACTGTGGAAAGAGCCAAGATGTCCATGGACAGATGAATGGATAAAGAAGATGTGGTATATATATATACAATGGAATATTATGCAGCCATCAAAAGGAATGAGATCTTGCCATTTGCAATGACGTGGATGGAACTGGAGGGTATTATGTTGAGTGAAATAAGTCAAACAGAGAAAGACATGTATCATATGATCTCACTGATATGAGGAATTCTTAATTGCAGGAAACAAACTGAGGGTTGCTGGAGTGGGGAGTGGGGTGGGAGGGATGGGGTGACTGGGTGATAGACACTGGGGAGGGTATGTGCTCTGGTAAGCGCTGTGAATTGTGCAAGACTGTTGAATCTCAGATCTGTACCTCTGAAACAAATAATGCAATATATGTTAAGGGAAAAAAAAGAAGAAGAAGAAGGTAGCGGGAGGGGAAGAATGAAGCAGGGGAAATTGGAGGGGTAGACGAACCATGAGAGATGATGGACTCTGAAAAACAAACAGGGTTCTAGAGGGGAGGGGAGTGGGAGGATGGGTTAGCCTGGTGGTGGGTATTGAGGAGGGCACATTCTGCATGGAGCACTGGGTGTTATGCACAAACAATGAATCATGGAACACTTCATCTAAAACTCATGATGTAATGTATGGGGATTAACATAAGAATAAAAAAAAGAAAGAAATAGAATGTCACCAAAGGTATGCCTTGTGAGTACATAGGAGAGCTTAGTCAGTACTGTATAGTAGAGTGCTGTTCAGACAAGCCGTGGTACAAAAGGCAAGAGAATCCTGCAATAACTGAGTGCTGTTACTAGATATCCTCAGATATTATTGTGATGTGGTATTCATAACAGCCAATTTAGTGAATGTTTACCATGTGCTATAAACTTACATATATCACCTCATATTCTCCTTAAAATCGCCTCCTGATGATTGTCCCCATTTAATCAAACTAGGCTTAAATGATTTTCCAGTTCCCACAAGTGACAAGTGGCAGAGCTGAGATTCAAAGCCTCTAGTCTAACTTCAAAGCCCATGAGACTCATTGTATTGTAATGTTTGCTGGCCATGGCACTGTTCGGGTCTGTTGCCAAATAACCTAAAATTCAAAACTGTAGTATAAATAAAACAAATATGAGAAACACTATTTCCAGCCCTGTGAGACTATAAGCTGTTTCTTCAACCTGCATTGCACTTTCGTGTCTGTACCTAAAATGCTCTTCCCCATTTGCCTTCAAGTCCCAGCTCAAATGCCAGTGTCTCTGGGCCAGGCAGGCGACCTAGAGACTAGCAGAATGAACAGCTTCCTGCTGCGTGCCCCTCCAGCAAGTCACCTCCATCTTTCTCGTAGGATTCATCCCAGTCTCTGGCCTGTGTTAGGTGCCAGTGTGCATCTTTCTGCCTTTCCTGCCAGATTACAGGCACCATGTGTAGTGGGCTCCAGAGACAGAGCGAGTCTGGAAGTCTAACTCTGCCACTTACTATTTGCCTCACCTTGAACAACCTCTTTAACTCTGTGAGGCTCAGCTTCCTCAGATGTAAAAGGAGGAATGTAAAAAAAAACTTGACAAAGTTGATGTAAGTTACGTGCAGTCCCTGGCCACAGTTTGCCTTCAACAAACGTAAATTCTCTTCTCCTCTATGAGGAGGGAGATCATTTCTTATTGCTTAAGCCCAGTGCCTTTCTTGTTATTGGAACTCAATACGTATTTGTGGATTGAATAAATAAATGCATAATTGAATGAATTAATGAGAGAACATATGCTCTATACAATGATATTTCCATTTTGTTTTGCCTTTCCCACATGTATCCATCTGGCAAATTTTTCTAGGCTGATAATTTTTGCAAGAATACTCCCCAAAGCTAATCTGTTTGCAAGTCTGCTTGAGGAGCATGTTAGCACATCACTTCTCTTCTCAGTTTTGCTTTTATCTCTTTCATCTCTATGTGGTGAGAGGAACTGTGACTCCCTGTAACTATGAAAATGTAGAGTCAATTTTTGGATGCTACTGTTTTTCTAGGTCTGTAGCACTCTACCTGCCCTACTGCCCTCACCATTCTATAATTTTTAGCTTGATGGCAGAAAATAAGTGGCAGTGGGAGGTTCTTTTTAGCTAATAAGAAATTTACAATGCTCTATTCAATTTCAG